CACACACACACACACACACACACACACACACACACACACACACACACACACACACACACACACACACACACACACACACACACACACACACACACACACACACACACACACACATCAGATTTAGGTGTATAGGTTATTACACCCTTGGGCTCCTATTACCAACACACCGTCTGCAGGCCAGGATTGAGTTTGAGGACTCTCTTCTTATTCCCAATCTCTGCAAGTTGATGATTTATTTGGATCACAACAGATAAAAGAAAAGTCAGCTCCGGTTATGTGTGATTTAAAACTAATGCAACAACAGCATTTAGCGTGAATGAAAAGCAGCAGAAAGAAGTAAAAACGTATAATAATCTGCCCCCTATCAACACAAAATCATTTACAGTTCCAGTGCATTTGAGCCTCTAATGACAATTCTAAACACAAAATTAAAGTTACAGCTGATCTGCAGTGATGTATTTCTGCAACATCAACAATTTTACAGACTTTTTAAACACACAATCGGACATAGAAGTTTTATGTTTAAGACAATAATGGGCTTGTGGTGGGTTTGAGTGGGTATGACTTTCATGGTGGTATTTCTGCATCAGTCATGGACAAACAGGCTTAAAAAAGACAAAATATATATATCTTACAGTTTAAACTTTCCAAAACTGGTGTGTGAATGACAGAAGCCTGGGCCAGTTGTCTTTGTCATGTATGTAGCTCATCTCCAACCATGAATGACATTGATCCTTAATAACTGGGCAAAATCAATCAACTATATTTGAGTGAAATTAGTGACATTTAAGTCACTGGGATTGGGATTTAAGTTCTATTTTAGTATTTGGAAGTCAGAAAACCAGCTTCTGTTGAATCTGCCCAGATCTTGTCTCAAAACTGGAGGAGACCGGGCCTTTTCTGCCCCTAAACTCTGTGCATTCGAGCTGCTCCTTCATCTAAATCTAGTCTAAAGACATGTGTGCACATTTGTGTGTGTGTGTATATGCATGTACAAAATATTTGGAATTAGAGGTTAAAATAAAGTAAAATGTGTGTTAATCATTGACCAATACATATTTCAAAAAACAGTTTCGAAAAAAAAAAAAAGAATAATAACAATAGTAATTATACTGTGAGGAAACTAAATGTGTGTATATTGTATATAAGCAAATGTGTGTAGATTGTATTTTTATTTATTTTTTTGAGGCGCTCATCATCATCAAAATAAGTGTTATTTTTTTTCTTTTTTGCTTTAGGGGCATGAACAATAAGACTCGGTCTTCAACATGCTCCTATTCTGACATGTGAACTGTACATTTCGATCTTTTGATGTATTGTTTGGTATATCGTTAAACACATGTAAAGAATAAAGAAGAAGAAGAAAAAAAAAGAATGTTTTTAGGCATTTGGATTTTAACACCAATTGAGTTTTACCATTTTACTTTTTATGCATGTGTACGTGTTTTATGCTGCTTTCTCCCCTCTGTGTCAGACTGTACAATAAGTCACTTGAATTCGCAAATGCACTAGGACTAAAAAAAACAAAACCTGCACTGCTATTGCCACTTTTTTATTGTACATAATTATATCCTGCACAGACTTTATCTTTAACCTGTTGCACACTTCTGTCTTTTGCATCTGAGTGACTCTATTCGTGCCAAATGTGACATGTACATTTACCCAGAGTGAGATCAAAAATATGTTTTTTTGTTGTATCTTTCGTGCTTGCAAAGCATTGGGAAGCTGGTGTTTTTCTCAATGTGCTATACATATAAAATTAGGTAGATAAATACTTTATTGATTCCCGTCAGAGAAATTCAGGCGTCCAGTAGCAGCAAAAATAAAAAATAAAATTGATCATTCTAAAAAGCTAACAATAGAAATATTCAGCAGCAGTCCTTCAGGTCACAGCAGCAGAGGTGGAGCCGCTTGGTTCAGACCATTTTCTCTGCTCTGGTCTGGACCAGTGTAAAACCATGAATCCTCTCTGCTCTGGTCTGGACCAGTGTAAAACCATGAATCCTCTCTGCTCTGGTCTGGACCAGTGTAAAACCATGAACACTGAACTGCAGCAACATCTCAGGTGAAAAAACCAAGAAAAATAAAATGTATGCAGCACAAAATAACAACTGTTTCAGAGACACTCAGGACCTGCTGCGGTTTTCAGCGCATTAAAAATTAAATAAAGTTGACTTTGACATCATCGTAACAATTCTATTTTAATGTTATACCTTAGAAGTGTTACTGATTTTCTTTATTATGCCTTACTCTAATCTTTACCTCTCTTTCTGACTGTTGCACCGAGCCAAAGCAAATTCTGTGACTTCCTGTTTCCTGATTCTGACATCAGCGGAGAAGGACAGGGGTGTTATCTGATTTGATTAGTTCATTAAGAAAATGTAGCCAAAGCTTTAAAAAGTCCCATTTTACAATTTGCTAAGTACTACATATCACCTGATAATCAATTATGGCGGACATTATGAATTTATTGTTTGGAACACGAATCACTTTGTCCCAGAAGCGGTTGGAGGACAAAAGAGAATTTCCCAAGACAAGACTGTTTACACACTTCCTGTTTCGTTTATGTAAATTCTGGTCTGTTTGCTCTACTCTGAAAGCGGTTTACTTTCTTTTAATCTGATTTATCATTTCACAATTTTAAAATCATTCTCTTTGGGGCCAATCAAGCTGAAGTGGGCCCTCTGAAGGAACATGTACTGTTTGTTTTTTGGCCGCTCCTTACATATTGGACCTATTCCAAATTCCCCACCCGCCCCGCGCTGAGGTCCGAGGTCCAGCTGCAGCTCATGGCTCCAAGGATGCGACTTAAAACCAAGCAGGGTATGGTCTTCTCTGCGGCGGGACCAAAGCTGAGGAAGGCTCCGCCCCCCACGACAAGACAGCTCCTTCATTGGATTGTTTTAAACCTCGTCTTAAGACCCACGTTTATTCTCGGGATCCTCTGTGTTATGTTTTTTCTTGTTGTTGTTGTTTTTGTTGTACAGCACTTTGGAAACTGCTTGTCTATGAAATGTGCTATATAATTAAAGTGGATTGTAATTTATCAATCCAGTGTAGTACATATTGAAAAAGTCAATTATGTAATTAATCCACTTCCTCATAATCATCAACTTGTCACAGCTATATATATCAAAATTACAAGCCATTTGCTAGCTAAAGCAACTGTGGGGACAGAAGGCCCCTGATTGGTCCGGCTTTTAGACTAGGGCTGCACGATATTAGAAATCAGAGCGATATTTGAAATGAGTGTTTAGTATTTTGATAACAATATTATTGCGATATATTTTTCTTTCACCAAAAATTGCATCTGCATTGAAACGCAAGAGACAGATAACAAAAAATAAGCACAACATTAATGATATATATTTATATACTTTTTTGTTTATTTGTTCTTTTTGAATGTTGATGTGTCTGTTTTGTTGTCTTTAAAAAAGGAAAAGAAAAATATCAATGCGCTTTTCTATATGGATATCACACAAACCAATATCGTAATAACGATTTTTTTTGATATATTGTTATTTTAGACCATCCTGTAAAGACATTTTTGAGAGAAAAGAGGACGCCATACAAAAGCATTGGGTAATTCTGTTTCCGGGTACACCCCCACCGGAGGGAGTGAGATAGCAGCATCTTAGAGCACGTGCTCATGGACCTTTTGAAACCGGGACCCGCCCACACTGGTCTGAAAAGAGAATAAACTTTTCTTTTAAGTAACAATTCCTGATTTGCTGCTTTTTCTTATTCATCCCTAAACGTAATCAAAACTCAATATAATTCTAAAACAAACAGTTTAAAGTTTACTGTTTAGTTTGACGAAAGCGGATCCCTCCAGTGTTCCTGCAGATAGAAGTGCATCTATCAAAAGTGACATTTTAGCAAAGCCAAGCAAAAGCAGTTCTGTGCACGGAGAAGGGACATGTTAAAGTGTTAAAGACATAATGAGTGGTGTGTCTATTGCAAGAGACCAAGAGCAACATTATGGTCTGCTAACAAACACGTTCAGGGATAAACTAATGTTTGCCTTTAAATGGATTACTTTGTGGCGCTTGGAACAGAATTGGGGCATCTCTATGACTGATTTTTCCATCAAACTGCATCTCAATCATTTGGCAAAGGCTTATAATAAAACAAATATTGAATTGTAAATTATATTGCTGAAAACATAAAGAAACATATTTCCCATCTATCAGCTGCCAACAGAATTTACTAATTTAGGTAATTTAGCTAATAACTTACTCTTAAAACACAATCTATTGAATGTTAAGTCAGATTTCTTTACAAGATTTCTATAACAATTAATTGTTAGTGCTCCTACATCTCAGAAAAAAATACATACACAAATTACATAAATCATTCAAAACCTTACTTTCTTCAAGGAATGAACATTAAAGTGTTAACGGGAAAAACACAAAAAAGATAAGAACTTGAGAAAATATCGAAAATCCAGTTCTGCTTAAAAAAATACTCTACACAGTGGGGCTCTGGTGAGTGACGTTTAGAAGTGAATTGTATCTAATAATAATAATAATGATAATATAACATGAGTCACTGCACATAAACTACACTGTAGCCACAGCTGCCCTGGGGCACACTGACAGAGGCAACCAGTCTGTGCCATTGGCCCCTCCCACCAGCACAAACCATTCACACACACACCAGACTCAAATCATGCAAAGTGGGAAAGTGTCTTGCCTAAGGACACAACAACAGTTTAAGTCATCATTGAGGTCATTTGTTACGCTCAGCTGTCACTTAATGCAAGAATGTGTATTGATCAAAAACATTTATTTACCCACACAGCAATCTAGGGCAAATATGATCATAACAAAGAGCAGGTCTTATTCTGGGTTTGGAGTGGATTATTATAACTGTTGTTAATAATAACAATAATAAGCTATAATGAAGTTATACCGGTTAATGAAGGGGACTGTTGTGACTTGACACTCCCAGGTTTAGCAGTGATTAAATGAGTATTTTTAATGAATAATAATCATTACCTGGCCGTGCTGAGCAGGGGGTGCTGGGTTCCCACCAGTTTCCTGACGTGCATGGCCACGTTACTGAGCTCATCACTGAGCAGGCAGCGCAGGCTCATGAAGGATGTGGGGTATCCCACGATCTTCTCCGCATCAGACACAACTTTGTTCCAGTTCGAGGGTCCTGGGCTGGAGAAGAGGCTCAGAGAGCGGGGTCCTGCCAGTGCCAGACATGACAGACGCCTCAAACCAGCTGTAAACATGTTCTCTCCGAGTCAAAAGTCTCTTTAACAGCAGCCTCACGTAAACCTCGGGGACATGTTACAGAACCAAACCCGCTTATTCCCGTCCAACGTCACAACATGCCTCGGAACCACAACCAGGCTCAATTCATGTTACAGAAAATGACATTGTCGAAGCTGGTTTATAACAACACACGACCTGCAGATGCGAGCCGCCATCTTGAGTTGCGTCACAAGTCACGTGGTTAAAGTGACAAGCTCACGTTCTCTGGACACTCCACAGAAAACCTGTGGACTGATCATGATAATGGAATAATAATAATAATAATACTAATAATATTAACAATGATAAAATTGACAAACATAAAAATAAACATTAATATTTTGTATTTTCAATCAAATCTCTCTGTATGATATTTTTGATTAAAGCAGTCATATTTATTTAATTTTTTATTTAATCTTTAAGTTCACCTGAGCTACAGCTACACAGCTACTCAGGTACACAACAAGACATTCAAATATCAAAAGTTAGCATTTACAATAAAAGGGTCCCGATCAGATCACCAAAATCAGCCATCTTTGCATTTAACATTGAACACAATTATTTTTATCATAAATAAAATACTTTAGATTTAAACTTTAGCTTATAATTTCAATAAATGAGTCGAGATATGTTGTATTTCAAAATGTATAAAACAGTATTTTACAGCAGAAAATAATAGAGTAACAGACTTCAGAACTATTAGTCTGAGGTCATTACGGTAAGATTATTGTTATATCTCTGGTAATTATCAGCAAACTTTAATTAGCTCAAACTTCAAATTGAATCCTGTGTGACTTCAGACCAGTCATGGGTCCATCTGTTGCAAATAATGTAACAGGATATGAAAGAATGAAACCGGCTGATGGAGAAAAGCCCTGAATGTGTGAACCAAATATTTAGTGTTTTCTGCCAAAAATAATAGACTATTTTTCACAAAGTTGTCTGGGGATAGATTTGATGTTACAGTGTTTACTTTTATATGATTTTTGAGGAAATGGGTCAGATTTAATTTGATATTCTGGTCAGGTTTCCCGATTCTTCTCTCAATGTGTGTGTGTGTGTGTGTGTGTGTGTGTGTGTGTGTGTGTGTGTGCGTGGATGTGTGTGAGCGTGTATTGAGTGTGTATGTATGAATATGTATGTGTCCGTGTGTGTGTGTGTCTACGTGTGTGTGGTTGTAATGTGTGTGGGAGTGAGTGTGTGTGCTTTTGTGGCTCTGTGTGTGTGTGTGGATGTGTGTGAGTGTGTATGTATTTGAGTGTGTATGAAAATGTGTATGTGTCCATGTGTGCGTGTCTGCGCGTCTGTGTGTCTGTGTATGTATATGTGTGTGTGTGTATTGTGCGTAAAGTGGGACCAAAAACTATTTAGTCAACCAAACACCAATTGTGCAAGTCCTGCCACTTAAACAGACGAGAGATGTCTGTAATTTCCAGGTTGACCGTCGCAATGAAAGACAAAATCCCATTTCTACTCCCTCCAAAGATTGAGATCTGGAGACAAACTCGGCCACTCCGGTGTTACGCAGGTACTATAGTTTCAGCATCGCACTCTTCTTTTCTGCTTTTAGATTTTTAGTTTTGTGTGTCTGTCTAGATGTGTGTGTGTGTGTGACGCGCCTTTGAGTTTTTGAAAAGTTCCATATAAAACCCGTATATTATTATTATTATTGTGTTTGGAATACTGGCCATGCTGAAAGACCACTATATCTGACCTGCACAGTTTGTACTGTGGACACATGTCAAATCTGTATTACTGCTAATCATCTTTATCTGAAGAATGTTCCGACCACATTGTCACTACAAAATCTATATCTTAAACATGCGTCATTAATATCTCAAGTGATGATGTCTCGTCTCCTCTTGTTCGATCTGGAGGAACTCAGACATAAACCGCTGTACAGGTGCAATCTTCTTTTCTCGACACATGCCCAGGCCCGTCTGAAGTTTGTGATAGATCATTTGGGAGAGGATTGGGAGAATGTCCTATTTGTCAGATGAAACAATAGAGCTTTTTGGTCGTGTTTGGAGGAGAAAGAATGCCAAGTTGCATCGAAAGAACATCATACCAACTCTGAAGCATGGGGGTGGAAACATCATGCTTTGGGGCTATTTTTCTGCAAAGGGACCAGGACTGAGTGAAAGCGTTATATAATGCTGAAATTAACAATACCAAATTTTAACATTTATTTTAGATTTAGATTATTTATTTTGAACCTACGCCACATTTTTCAACCTGAAAATGACATAACAAATAACACATGGTTCACGTGAGGCTGGATGACGCAAATTCTTATTTGATTCCAAAACACAATACAATGCAACAATATCATGCAATTTTATTACAAAAACAACCTCTTTAATGCAAATGTCATCAGAATGATTATCAAGCCTTTTGTCTTCTACAACTTTTAGATTCAAGATTCATTTTTTTTGCCATTTGCCGTAAAACCACATTAGAATAACACTGTGAAGACTACAGCGGATAGTGCACACCAGAGCATAGTCAATCAAATTGAAGTGAATTGAATGTCTAGATGTGACAGTCACAGCTGACATGCTTGTTACAATCACAACAGTAGTTTAAACAAAAGAGTGAAAGTTTAATTTGGCATCGAAGCTCAGTCAATCCAAGGCATCGGAGTGAAATAAGGCCACTTCATTACAGACATCCGGGACCCTTACAACTGGTCTTGAACTTGTGCGTAAAGCAACACTTGTTTTTCTATAGGTGCGTATTGATGGGGGAGGGGGGGCACCTGTTTGCAGCTCCAGTGAGAGCCCGCGGAGCTGATGAGTGGAAGTGACTGCACTGATTGCATTCGATGGGAAAGCGAGAAGAAATCGCCTACCTCTGAACATCAACGCGTCATATAATGTTTCAGCGGACGCCCCTCCCCCTGTCTCGTTTTCTCCCCTCACTCAACCTCTCTCCTTTGACTCACAGCGGAGGCTCACCACTGGCGCACGGACCTCGGAGGAGGAGACGGGCAGAAGATGGCTGGTTTAGCCGGGCACCACGAGCCCTCGGCGGCATCACCAGCCTCACATGGGCCGCTGAAATGTTGTGAGACCCTCGCTGTCTGACTGTAAACAGCTGCTGTCTCTGCAACCTCCTCCCGTCCATCCTCACTGCAAATATTGACAGAAGAAGTATCACAGAAAAAACATGGCAGAGATGGAAAAAGAGGGCAGACCTCCGGAAAATAAGCGCAGCAGAAAACCAGCTCACCCGGTGAAAAGAGAAATAAACGAGGAGATGAAGGTAACACCGCGGGGTTTGTCCTGCTGCATGTGCATGGGGGCGCGCACGGCTCACTCTTGTGTTGAAACCACCATGGAAATGTATCATACTCTCAAATGTAATTGGCTGGGGAATGGTCCAACTTAGACATACTGTGGTCATTTCCTAAGTTTTGTGCAGCGCCAGGGGAATCCGCGCTCTGCCAACCACAAGAGTGCCAACGCCACCTTGCACAATGGATGCGACACCCATTCATTGCTCCTGTAGTAAGTTTTGAATCAATGGGAAATGCCACAGTGCCTTTCCAGCGTGTGTGTCTATCCCCCCCGTTTTCAGATTCCGCGTCTTGCTCAGAGGTAGTGGAAATCCATCGTGAGTGAACGCGTCAACATCTCTAGTTACTACTACTACCAACACAACCGCGGCGACACATGACAAGCTGCTAATGCGTAATTAGTCTAAATCAATGGGGGAACACTCGTCTGCGCGTGATGCTTTGTGGAAATACGTGCCCGTGTCTGTGTGCGCGCAGCTGCCCAGAGGCTTCCGATCCAGATGTGCGTCTGTCAGCTTTTACGCACACGACACATCTCCCGTTGTTCCCACCACACGCGGATTTATTTTGATTCATGCTGTTATTTTTTGACGTGTATGAAGAGGTTTGGTGCAGCTGGGTTAAGAAAGTGGTCATGTGCGCGTGGCTGCTGCTCTGAGCTTTGTCTCTGAACCCTCATTGTTTGTACACATACTGAGGAAATGCGCAGATACTGTCCAATTCTGAGGATTCTTTTGCTACTTTGGGCTGCGTTATAGATGTTTAAAAACGAAACAAAACCCCCTATGCATTTGGATAACGTTATAGCTATGAAGGTCCTGTTTTGCACGCATCCAAAATCTCTATAGCGTTGTGTACCAGCATTCAAAAATCAAAATTGCTTGTGCTGAAAGGGTTTGTATACATTGTATGTGTGGTGTTGGAGCTCTGCAGACACACAGCACTGTCTGGTGATGTGGATGTTATATTTAAACAATATGTGGTGATGGCATCCTGCATGTGTGTGACCCAAAGGGAACAGGCGGGTATAGGGTGGCAAAACTCCACACTTATTGCCGTCACTTCTGTGCCGTAAAGACAAATACAAGCCTTTGATGAAAACATGGTTGCTCTTAGCTGTTTAAGTTTTATAGAAAAAACAACAACATTTCAGCTAATTTGACTTTGTGTGTTGGGTAAATTATAAGTGCTGCCATCTTTGAAGTACCCTGATAAACTGGATATAGAGACTAAGGACCTTTCTGAGTGGAGTTTGCATGTTCTCCCCATGTGTGTGTAGGTTTCCTCCGAGTTCTCCGGCTTTCCCTATCACTAAAAACATGCACAATAGGTCTGATTGTATTGAGTGGATGGTGTTGGTTGGAGGTTTTGATCCAGTGTGTGTCACTGTGTGGAGACAATGAAACAATATCTGATCTTTGTGAAGCGCTTTGGGTGACCTTGGTCTGTAAAAATGCACTATATAAGTATACATTACTTACTTACTTACTGAAGCGAGATAACACATTTAATAAGCTGAAATGTTTAGTCAAAGCCCAACTTTCTTTAGTCCCAGTCAAATATGTAATTTGCACATTCTGATGTTTACCTGCAGCAAAATGACCAAGCAGCAGCCGGACTCCAAAATGCAAAACAGATACAGGTTTTTTTTAACATTGTCTCCTACGTTACATTTTAAACACTTCAAACTAAAAACAAAGTTACCCTGACACACAATGTGCCCTTGTTAGCCAGAAGCAGCCCGTCTAATGTGAGCCCTGTAAGAGAAGCCTGAGTGAGTAATCAGGGATAGAAGCAGTGCGGCACACAGGAGGCACAGTGGGCTCAGAAACATGGAGAAAGGAATGTATACAGCAGCGGCCTGGTTAAGCTGTAAAAAACTGAAACCCGAGTCTGCGAGCGAGATCAAATATCAAGGAAAGTGGAGGAGAACGAAAGCAGAGCAGCGAGAGACGAGTGGAAAGGCAGTGGAGAGCGGGAGGATGGAGGGAAGGCGAAGGGAAAGTTGGCGTGTAGATTGGGGAATTTTATCACGGTGTACAGTGACCTGCTCTGGTTTCTGGCCACAAGCGATCCAGTTTCCACCATCATCATTACCACAGCCCTGGCGGCGTGTGGGCTCTGACTGCAGGGAACAACAGGGATCTCTGTCCGTGTATTTTCATCATTAGCAGCTGTAGAGCCAGCTGGAGTTACACTTAAGGCTTGTTTACCCTTCAGAATTAGAGAAGGGGGTTACAGTTCCTATAAGTGCAGACATGATACGGCTGGAGTTTATGAGTCACACAAAAGTACTTGTTAAGAGTTTTGTCATTTGTACAACTTCTACTGCTTTAGATTCGCCTCCAAAGTGACAATGGCCTTTTTTATATTTTGCAACCATGCTATGCTACAATATATCGGAGCTAGGGCTGGGCGATATGACTGAAAACTATATCACAATATAAGTAGCTCATATCGGTCCATAGCAATATATATTGATTGTTTTTTTTGTTTTTAAAAAATCTAAATAAATACATTTGTTGTGTCGGCTAACACACGTTAGCAGTCACGGGGAATGAGGCTGGAGGAATATGTTCACAAGCACAGTGTCCCCCATTGTTAGTCCTGGTTTAGTCCTGGTTTAGCTCCTGTTTTGGCTGTCTTCGAGTGTCTTGTGACCCTGTGACGGTTCCGTGCAGCTCTGATAACCACATGTGCTTCTTGCGGAAAAAGTTCATCTCTTGCTTTCGCCGAATGCATCAGGTCTCTGTGTCCACTGCCTCTCCCGCCGCACATGCTGTTCCTCACACAGACGTGCAGAACCATTGACACGGCAACAATCTATAAAACCATGGACGCTACACATGGTGCGGTTGTTGTTTGTGCATGTCCCAGAATGTTTTGCGGTTCCTGCTCGGCTGTGATAGGTCGAGAAGCCTCTGCCTACATCCCCCAGAATGCCGCAGGGTGAATTTAATCTATCAAACATTCTATCGACCACGTTTTTTATTGATATCGAACACAAGTCTATCGCGACATATATCGTTATCGTTTTATCGCCCAGCCCTAATTTGAGCACTGCATTTTTAAACAATATATCAACAATATCAGTTAGACAGCGTCGACAGAAAGAATACCAAACACTGTCTAACCATTTCCTCTGGTGCGTCTCTATAGCCTCCTTGCATGCCTTTTAAATGTCCAATTTACTGCGTCCTAAATCAAGATGTGTCAATCAATCAATCAACTTTATTTGTATGGCGCCTTTCCAACACCAGGCCACTCAAAGCGCCTCACAATCCACATAATATCACACAAATCAGAGACATCAATAAATACATTAAAAACAGAATAAAATCACAAGTAATGAAAAAAAAAAAAAAAAACTTAAAATATTAAAAGCACACACGGGATTAAAATAATAAATAACCACAATGCATTAAAAAAAAAAAAAAAGAGTATGTATCAATAAAATCCTTCAGCCGTATGCACAGCTAAAAAGAACAGTTTTTAGCCCTGATTTAAAAATTGCCAGAGTAGATGCTAGCCTCACATCTTCAGGAAGATTGTTCCAGATTTTAGCTCCATAAATCTCAAACGCTGCCTCCCCATGTTTAGTTCTGACTCTTGGAACCAGTAAGAGGCTACCTCCTGTGCTCCTCAGAGTCCGGGCCGGTTCATATGGGACTAACAAGTCGCTTAAGTACCCTGGTGCGAGGCCATGGAGAGACTTGTACACAAGCAGTGCTGCTTTGAAGTCTATTCTCTGAGCCACAGGAAGCCAGTGCAGAGACCTGAGAACTGGACTAATGTGGTCATATTTCCTGGTCCTGGTCAGGACTCGAGCTGCAGCATTTTGGACATACTGCAGTTGTTTTACAGCCTGTTTGGAGAGACCTGTGAGCAGGCCATTGCAGTAGTCTAACCTACTGGAGACTAGATTCAATGTAAGATTTGCAGTGAATGGAAAGATTACTGCAAATCTTACTGCAAATGTAAGATTTGCAGTGAATGGAAAGATAAATGGTCTGTGTAGGAAGTTTGTAGAAGCCACTTCACCTCTGATGCCTCTTCCTCAGTAACTAAAGCAGAGCCGAAGTTGGCAGTGGGACTTTGATGATGAGCCAGGAAGCATTAGGTTACTCTCTTAATAATACTCCCACTTTCTCCAGTCGTAGGTGACACAGAGGACAGTGGCGTTTCTACACTCACTTTTCATCTGAATGACACACAGTTCTCCTGTTGTAATCAAATGAGACAGTTTAGGCTGAGTTTTTATCATGAGTGTTATATCCAGGCTAAAATGATGTCGACATGACTTGTTCCTTTGCAGAACGTGTAACAGACTATGATTTTGTTTTTACATTTTATGAAACAGGTGGAACTCAGATAAATAGAATATTGTGAAAAACTGTATTTCATTCTGTAATGCTATGTTTTCATTTCATTCTGTAATGCAGCTCAAACTGTGAAACTAATATGATGTGGAGTCATGGCAACTGACAAATGTAAAGCCTTTGTTTGTTTCCTCAGTTTTGTCCCTTTTAAAAGACTGAGGCCCCATCAACTCACTAACCCACTAAGACCCAGACCGGACCCTGTGAGCCTCACACTGGATACACACGGATCTGGACACAAAGTCCGTTGTTGGGACTGGAAGAAGTTTTAACATTTTATAATATGTGCTTTAGTGTATTTACTGAGTTATTATTTACATTTCTAAGCTAAGCAGGACAAACCCTGCCCCAAACAGGGGGAAGAAAACATCATGAATCTTTGAATATTGAGTCAAACTAATCATAAGTGAATCATTTGTTACTGATTAAGCAGAAGACACCAAACCCTGCCTCAGTGGAGCAAAGAGGGTCATGGCAGAATCAACTTCTAAAGAGACTCATTATGCAACGACACGAAACAGAAACAGACCTGAAGTTGTTTTTGGATCCATACACGTTAATATCAAATAATCAACAAGTGGGTCATC